AAATCTTGACAGTGTGACTATGGAGACTTCACGAGGAGCTCTTGCACTTCAGAATGTACCACTCCACCCCTATTCTCAACAGCATTATACTTCACATTATATACAATATGCAGCTACTCCTACAAATATGAAGTCTTTTAGAAATGTGCAGATAACGATTGTTGACTTGCTCTTTGGCAGTTTGCAGAATTTCTCCCTGCATGCCGTGTTAGCATAGCTCTTTGATGCCTTCTGATTGATTCTGTGTTTCTTGGTGACATATCAGTGTTTGATGATATTCACATGCTCAAATCATCAGATTGTGTGTGCATTCTAAGACTGAGCGTATTCCTTTTGGCCCTGCATTTGACATCATCACTAGGTGATGTGCTGGCTCGAAGTTCAGAGCCATGGCATCTTTTTGTGCTTCTTAAAAGTCCACATTTGATGTACCCCTGATGGTGTCTTTCCAAGTCTTTTATTGCATTTCCCACCCTGCCAATGATTTATGGCTGGTTTCATCTTTGAAGTTACAACCAAAGAGAAAATCAAGAACTGTGTACCCGCCACATGGAAAGGCCTGCTTAGCATCTTTTTATTGTTCCACACGTACATGTTCTCTACCATTACGGTTGTTATATTGGCCACATATATAATGCACAGAAATTTAGCAGATCTCCCACCCTTCTATCTGAATGACTTGTGAAATCTTGTTGTTTTCTTTTGACGGGGGTGGGAATAGTTGTAGCTCTGGGGATGACATAGGTTTGGGCTCCAGATCTTTCCGTGTTCTAATACAGTGGTTTCCAAATCTATTGGAGTAGAACTTTCCCCCCCGAATGCCTGTCACAGAAGCCCCACATATCTGTCAGAAAACCACTGCAAAAGATTGGGGTACACTCAGCTTCCATTACATACCGGCCTGGTCTGTTGGACCTTCCTATTATTCCACTGGAATAACAACAACAACAACAACAACAATTTATTTATACCCTGCCCATCTGGCTGGGTTTCCCCAGCCACTCTGGGTGGCTTCCAACAAAATATTAAAATACAATAGTCCTTCAGATATTAAAAGCTTCCCTAAACAGGGCTGCCTTCAGATGTCTTCTAAAAGTCTGGTAGTTGTTTTTTCCTTTGACATCTGGTGGAAGGGCGTTCCACAGGGCGGGTGCCACTACCGAGAAGGCCCTCTGCCTGGTTCCCTGTAACTTCGCTTCTCACAGTGAGGGAACCGCCAGAAGGCCCTCAGTACTGGACCTCAGTGTCCAGGAACAAAATGTTCCTTAGAGTACACCCATGCTCAAGCTGCAAGGAAGATTGATGCTGGTGCACAAATTGTCTCTTGCGCTCACACTACATATGTTATGGGTGATCCATGATAATATTTTTATTTTTACTTCAACTTCAACACAGCTGTAGCAGGGGTCCAAATCTAACCAGAGAAGTGGCACTGGGGAGCAGGACTTTAATCCTTTCCTTGACACCGTTCTCCTGATCTAAGCCACCCCATTGCACTCCATCCTTGACCCGTTGTTAGCACTTTCAGCAGAAATGGACATGCATTTATTTCCTCCTCCACCACCTGCTTTGTTGGAGCTAATAGATTCAGGACAGGGATATTTAGGTCAGGGAAGCAGTATGGCAGAAAGAGTTTAGAAAACCATGCCAATCCCCTATGGATGCTTTAAGTAAAATAATAATAATATATGTTCATTGTCTGGCATAGTTTAGGAAAGATTGTCTGACAGAGATAGTAGGGTGTACTGCTTAGAGTGTTGGACTAGGACTAGCGGGACCCTAATTTAGATCCTCACTTAGCTATAAACCTTGTCATGACCGTGGGCATCTCTTACATAGCCTACCTCACAAGGTTGTTGTGTAGATAAATAAGGTAGCGTGTGCACAGCCATGCCCTCCTTGCAGGAAAGGCATGTTATAAATGCAATAAATAAATAAAACCACTAATCTCCTTACTGAGGAATCTCTTGATGAAGAACCTAGCATGTAGCATACCAACCATAGCTGTTGCAAGCATAAATACTTTATTATCGATGAATGTATAAAAAAGCAGATCTTACCACAAATCACAGGGTTTGGTTTTTAAATGCTAACAATTATTAGAATGTTTAGGTTTTATTTTTTCATTGTGCAAGAGCTTTTCAATGTACCATGAGCTATAGACATCATTTGAAATGTAATAGACTGAACTTGATAAAGCAGTCAGAGGAAGGAAGAGCCGTAGGTGAACTTGGGATGGCTCTTGCTTGTATGGTCTAGAGGTAGTTCCCATGCACATGAATGGAGCTCCCATTAATCTCTGTGGTTCTTGTGCTGAATAATATCCTGGAGGATTTTTGCATAAATGAAATGTATTGTTACCTACTCTAAACCTTCTTGAAAAATTTGATTCCAGGCTAATGCTAAGATAATAAATCAGGATATCATACCTGGGGACATTTAACTTTCAAAATTCTGTGCATGGTTTCCCTTTACAAAACCATGTTGACTTTTCTCTGCCAAACTATGAATGCTGGTTGTTTCTTGACTCTGCTTTCTGTGCCCAGGCACACACTAGCTAATAATTTGTTATTCTGGCAACCTTTTAATAAACCACTAATGTTGCATACGGAAATTCTCTTTTACCATTTCAGTGGCAGAGATTGAAATGACTGAGTGAGATTTAAGCACATTAACTGCTCCCACTGAAAATCGCTGTGCTTAAACATGTGTAAATCTGGTTAAATTTACTCAAAATCCTTGTAATGAGGAATAATATAAGAAACGTTTACTCTTGGGTTTAATTATGAACATCTAACAGTGCAGTCCTATATACTGAATAACCCTAAGATCGACTTCTGAGTAGACATATACTGTATGGGATTGCATTGTTTGTTTCTATATGTTAAATATACTATTACCATGCCACCATCCTGTTTCTCTATTGCACGAAAGGTAGTTTCTATCCATAAAATGGGCGAGGAAATCCACCTCTTCTTCTTAAGGCATAAGTATCCTCGAGTTCCCAAACTAGGCATCATCCATGCATGGCAATGTATCATTCCTGTTGCAACCCCTAAGGTCAAGGTGTGTGTGTGTGAACACAGTGACCAGTCTTAAAGGCATGCTTAGACTGCTCAAGAAAAGAAATAACCTCCAATTTTGAAAAATGTAATAACTATTGACTCCTTTGTGTGTGTTTTACCATGTTTTCCCAGGCAAATTTGTACTTGACAGCCATATGTCCTTTAAAACAGATCCATAACTCTTCAAATAACCCAGATCATTTTCCCTCAATCTCTCCCTCTCTCCCTCTCTCTCCTTCTTTCCCCTCAATCTTTCTCTGTCTCCCTGTTTAATGCCCACATCTCCACTATCAGGAACAAATATGATTTCTGATTGAACATCACTTTATTTGCCAGTTCTGTGGTCTTTTCTTATCTTGTTCCACACTTCTCAGGCTTTGTGGTTAAATTATGTATTAAGGTCAATGTCAAAACACGGAAGATCTGTAATCTACAGGGAGCTCCCTTTTATTCGTTATTACAGTGAAGGCTGTGCGCAACTGTCAGGGAGCTTGGGATGTGCTCAGCATGAGGCTTGCTACACAGCAGGGCTCTACAAAGCCTCTCTCCTTGTTCTCCCAGGATGAAACCCTTGATAGATTTACCCAGATAACCCATCTCACTTTAAAGCTCTCTTGTCTCTGCTTCAATCTGAAAGCTGTCAAGTGCACCTATATAGTAATGTCATAAATCAAACGTAAAATGTGTACACTGGAGACATCACGAGTGTCATGTATTCACTTGTACTTTGAGATTTTCTAAAGTAAAATGGTGTCAGAAGAAAGAAGGCTGGGAGGGGTGGGCTGTATCCTTCTTTTCCTGTTCCCCCTTAAAATAAAATACAAGACTGTTTGAAAAAGGTTCACTGTAAACTTTTTATTATTATCATCTGCGTGGGTGGGGGGTACTTTTGTAGTCTACACATTTTTGTTTATCCTAAATTAATCAGGGACAGCTATTTAGTAAACAAAAAAGGAGGGGAGAGAGAGAAAGGAACGGCAAAGATATCTATCTCTAAGCATTGAGATTTAATGCAAGGCTGCGTATTGATTTTGCGTCTTTGGTTTTCTTCCTGACAAGCATTTGTCAACATGGATTTGTATTAGTTCCCAGGCTTGTTTATTAAAGACACATCCTTCTTTCCCTGCACTAGAAACAAAGCGGGCGCCTAAAACAAGGCGCCAGGCGAGGCAAGACAGAAGATAAGTTCTCCTTGCGCTTAAGTTTTCCCTTAGCCACAAATAAAGGAAACTTTCATTTTATATTGCAAGTAAAGGGTGGTACTTCATCAGAAGTGCCTGGTTTCTTTTCCTAATGTTGTACTTGCAATGTGAGATGCTTTTTATAACCAAATAGCTTAGAGCAAAGCTCTTTGCAATGCTTCCCGTTCACATTCTCTTGACTTAGCATTGAACCATGTTACTGCCTTAAAAAGAAAAAAGCTGTACTAAAAATCTCATGCATTGGATCCTCTGCCCATTTTCTGAGGGAAAGGGTTTTTTTAATAAAAAAATAAATCATGTTATTAGTCCTGTGATAGGACACACATGTAGGGCTTCATCTGCCTACAGAAATGGGTGATTAAATTCCAAAGATTTCCATGGACCTGAAATTGCAACAAACTCGTGCTGGATTGCATCCAATACTGTTCAACGAAAGTGGTTTGCTTCATCTGTGAGCCCATCAACTGATGAGATAGCAAGTTATGAGCAGGCATGTGTAAAGCAGCCCTTAGTTAATTAGTGAATAGCCTGTTGTGTTCCTATTCCCAGAAACTGGGGATAGATTTCTGGAGAAGGTACCCTCTAATAGTGTGTTTCATTTGCTATAACCCTCCTAGGGACAGTGGGTAATAAATTGTAATAATAATGATGATGATGATAATGATAACCTCCAGTGTACTCAGTATCCCAGCTGGACACAAACAACCTAATCCTAGGTTTATTTGTTTGCCAGGAGGTAATTTCCACTGAGTTCATCAAGAAGAAAACTTAGGATGGCAGACCAAATAATCTCCATGTTACAAGCACACCATCACACCTTACAGGTTAGTCCATTTCCCAACAACTTGCCAAGCTTTCCTTCTTGCCTTTTTTTTTGGCAGCAAACCATGACAACAGGATGGAAAAATAAAACTAACCACAAATAATCAAAAACAAAATGCCTAGGGCTATCCCTGCTCCCCGCACATTAAAAACAAGATTAATTCTCCATTAAGTGCTTCCCAGATGTTGGGTTGCGTTGCGCGTTGTAAAATATGGAGCCCATCAAGCCTGATTCTCCACTCTGCTACAGTTCAATGTGGGAGAACACCAAAAACAGAAGACACAGATGCCTGCTGTATCGGCAAGTTCCCATTTTACCAGGGCATGCTGTAGACAGAAATGACTTAACAGCAGCTTTTGCTCCCCTCTGCTCCCAAGCATACTCCTAAACTCAAATCAAACGCCAGTAAGCCTAGCATTCAAATTCAACCCTTTTATAGTCCCATCAAAATCAACTAATCCAACCCCATTATGGCCCCATCACAATTCCTGCTTCCCATGTTAACACAAATAAAAACTTAGTATTCTATATACTCTTAGCCAATAGGAGGGTTATTGCAGAAAATTTGAGGCGTATTACAATGCCTTCTTTCCAAGGTAGTTTCATTAAATATGAGGTTTTGTTATCTTCATGGCCAAGAAAACTCCAAGTGTACAAAATCAATCTGGCAACACAGAGTCTATTGACAGATTTGTTTAAGGAGTGTAATTTTTGTCCTTCTTCATTGCCAGTGTGTGGAATTTTTCCCCCAATGAGGGCCCTATTCCCCAGTGGGATGTTTTGGGGGCTACATATCAGCAGTGTTTAGTGCCAGATCCACCTCACTCTCTTTCTCTCTCTTAAGATCACCACCAGGGCTCCCCCCCCCAGCCAGAACTCACCAGAACTCGGTTCTGGCACCTCTCAGGTGGGCACCTTGCCATTATAAGAGAACAAGGGCGGAGTTCATGGTGAGTTCTGGCCCTCTTCTTCTAGGAATGTAGCACTGGTCACCACCACACACTCTTGGAAAGTGCCTTCCCACAGAGCACACTTCAGGAGCTGCCAAATGGTAGGGGCAGTGAGGACAGAGGGGTAGGGCTGTGGTCTGGAGCAACGAAGAGGAAACTCCTGTAGCCCACTCCAGCGACAGAGGGGGAAGTGCCACAACTCTGGGTGCTGTGCAAGAAAAGAGGGTGGGGTGATGCAACATATGGGAATTTCCTGCATGCAAAGTGGCAAGTCTACCACTGAGCTGCGGCCCTTACAATCTGCAAAGTTCTCCCCTCAGGCAAGGCCTGCCTGACCCCAACTTTACCATAGTTTTGGCGTGGAGTTAAGACTTTCCTCTACTGCCAGGCACCTGAGCATATTTGAGGGATTGGCTGTTAATTCCCCACCTCAGAATTGGATGATTTATAATTGTGTCAGTGGTGCTTTTTAACAGTTTTATAGGTTGCCATAATCTGATATGTTAACCTGTTGACAGTATGATTATGTCTCCATTATTATTTTTTTGTATGTTTTAATTTTTTGTAGCTTGTACATATTGTGGTTGGTTTTGCTTGTGGTTGGTGACTAAGGACTGCATTCAGCCAAGGTATTACTCAGAACAGACCCAGTGAATGCAGTGAAGTGTAGTTGCATCATTTCATTCAGAGCCAGTGTGGTGTAGTGGTTAAGAGCGGTAGTCTCGTAATCTGGGGAACCGGGTTCGCGTCTCCGCTCCTCCATATGCAGCTGCTGGGTGACCTTGGGCCAGTCACACTTCTTTGAAGTCTCTCAGCCCCACTCACCTCACAGGGTGTTTGTTGTGGGGGAGGAAGGGAAAGGAGATTGTTAGCCGCTTTGAGACTCCTGAAGGGGAGTGAAAGGCGGGATATCAAATCCAAACTCTTCTTCTTCTTCTTCTTCTTCTTCATTTGAGTGGATGTACTCCAAGTTGGAAGAGCATTGGATGCAACTCTGAGAAATTTAATAAAGCGAAACCTACCTAGCCCTGTACACTACCTAGCCCTACTCATGGGGGAAAGGGTGGCTGATATTTTCCACAAGAAAACACCAATAGGAATTCAAAACAGCAAATAATGAACTGGAATAGAATTCAATGCCACACTTTATGGCAAATGTTTCATCATTGCAGCTTTCCAGAATAAAGAGTTTCCCCACTCTCTTCCTCCCACATGCTTTTCTGGGATTCTTCACACTCCCTGCCCCGCAAATGAGCGAGGTTCATGGGAGACAGCCCCGTCACATAACCAGAAGTCCTTGTGCAGGTGTCAGGCATCAGGGAATCCAATCTCCCCACGGTAGGCTGCCAGGAATAGATATGACAAGGAAAGTTCTTTCCAATGTCTTTTATTCAATATTCACAGAGAGAAGCTTAGAAATGCAGCCTCTTGGAGTAATGGTGTTGCTCCGAGTAAATCTCCACCACCACCCCCTTCTCTCCACTTCCTCAATCATCAACAGCACCACCCACCTTACGGTGGCCGCTTAGGGCCATTTGTCTCTGAACCCTTTGCTCTCCTACTTTAATTGTTTGCCAGGTTCTGGGAGAAGGATGGTCTGGAATGCTTTCTCGTGAGAAGTGTCAGCCAGCTGCTCTGGTTCTGCCTCCTCCTCCTCTTTTCCCATTATTTCCCAACTTTGCCCTTCATCTGCCTCTGAGCCGTGACCTTCAAACCACTGTTGTAAATCTATACTGTCTTCCTCTTCTCTGGAAGGTTCAGGCTGGGGAGTCGATCTCCACCATTCCTCCTCTGTCCAGTCCCTGACAGCAGGGTTTCTACTGACAAAACTGGCTTCTCATCCATAGTACTCCTGGTGTATAATACACCGGGCATAGCATTACAGTAAGCTCAGTATCTGAGTCCTAATATTATTGGGTGATCTCCAATGTTAGTCATACTCAGAGCAGACTTATTGGACATCACCTTATTATGTTGGTGATTTGCTATTTCAGTAATGCAAAAGCCAATGTATGCAATAAGACTACAAGGTTCATTGAAGATTTTCTTGCTTACCTATAATTGACATTATTTTCTTTTAAAAATGAAACCTGAAAGATACAGCTATTTGCAAATAACCATCAATATCTCTTGTACAAAGCCTCCATATCTTGCAAACTTGTCTGGGACCTACTGAGATAATTTGAATAGCTGTTGCTTTTTCAAGTTCATAATATTTTATAAAATCAAACAAACATTAATGAAATGGAAAAGACAAATAAGGTTACATTTCTTTTCTTTTTTAAATACATCAAAAGACATTGACCTAGAAATACATAAATACATGCATAGAGAGTAAAGTGTAGGCTAACTTGAGCTTAACAATGTCATCCTCGGTTTTTTAAAATTGTTATTATGCAGTTTTCATTTTTACTCAAAACAGAAGAAAATAAGAAAAGCCGTTCTGAATCAGGCCAGCCAGCCAGCTCAGTTGGTAGAGCCTGAGGTTCTTTAACCCACATTGGGTTAAAGATTCCTTCATTGCAGTGGGTTGGACTGGATGACCCTCTTGGTCCCTTCCAACTCTATAATTCTGTGATTCTATGCCTACAGGAAGCCCACAAGCAGGACATGAAATCAATAAGCCTCTCCTGCGGTTACTCCCCAGAAGCTAGCTTTCAGCAGTATACAGCCTCTGAACGAAGAAAATGTCTACTCCTCTTGCACAAGAAAGTTATTCTCTTCCTCTCTGAGACGTATCTCAGCATTGCCAAAGACAAAGTGGTCTAAAGGAATTTTTTAAAAAAGAAAATATACAAGCATGCTGGTTTTTACCATTTCCTTCCCCCCATCCTCCAGAGTCTAGCATTTGGTTAGAGATGTCTTCAAGATCTTACAATCCCTTACAACATCTAATTGGGGGAGAAATCTATTCCAAGAAAATCACCCAGCGTCATTTTCCAGCACCCACGCTTTCCACTTTAACTTGGGTTCAGAAGATACATGCTTAAGTCAGAGTTGTAAAGAAATGGTCCCGAAACACTGTGCATTTTTGGAAGATTGTTGCAGACAGTGTGTGTGTTTGGGCTTTCTTGTGGCCTACGCTCTTAGATTCTTAGGACGCTGAAGTGTCGGCTTTGCTGCTAACTCTGCTTTGCATATCTGCTCACACTTCACAAGTGGAAAGCCATGGCGCATCTGAAGCAAAACTCATTTGAAGAGCCACAAAAATATCTTCTGACGACCAGGCCTAATTAATGCCTCCACGGTGACCTCTACATCTAGCCCATATCAAAAATATTACAGCCGAGTTTATTCAACATGAACTTGAGATCAGGCAAGACCTGGTACTAATGAATACTAATGAAGAGTAATTACTGGAACTCTGCCACTGAAACCCATGGCAGAAGCATATGATAATTGGATTAATACAATCATTTGCAGAACTTTACACTACCCCTTCGAAAAAAGAAAAAAGAAAGAAAAAGAAAGTAGAAGAAGCAGGAAGAATTGCAACTTAAACAATAACCTTGTTGTATTTATTCCCATGATTCTAATCCACCTTTCGTTCTTCTCTTCTGGCCCAAAGAGTTCTACAAACACAGAGGCATTCAGTAATATAACTTGAATGATTGGTGTTACTATTCTGGATCCCCACCCTCATATAAACATATATGAATGCTATTTAACCTACACATAAAACAAGATGGAATGCAGAGAATTTGATGGACCGTTATGGTATATCTACCTAGTGGGAAAGGGAGAAGTCAAGGTTAGGTCACCATCTCCTGCTCATGAAAACTCTGCCGGTACCCAGTGTTCAGAAAGGCTGGTGCCTTTCTAGAAGAAAACAGCTGTGATGGCCAGCCACAGGAAAAACAAGAATATTGTGGTGCCTTAAAGACTAGCATAAAGCTTATGTGGCAATAACTGTGTTGGTGAGGTGGCCCAAGACTCGCTATTGTTTTACATGATGACAGAGTGAAGGATGCATCCCTTCCCTGTATCACTCAGATGTTTTTCTATTGACCAGATGTTCCACCACACACAAGAGTCCTCGTTCTGCATGCAA